TTTATAAAATTCAAAGCCGCAATGATTCATAATAGTTGTAACAATAGTTAGTTCAAATCTCATATTAATAAGTTTTTAACACAAGTATCATAGAAGTTAACTGATTTTACGTAGTATTATTACAAAATACATGTAAATTATTTAAAAATATTAATCCGTAAAGTATCAGTGGCGAACAACGTGGTTGTATCCATGAAGTAGGAAAAGCTTCCCGTAACAATTACATTAAAGTTAATTACAACATACAATATTGTTACCGACAGCTGTGTCTTAAGTCAACACTGACTATCCAACAATTGAATGGAAACTGAAGACAAAAACACAGAATCGGTTTTAATATGAAAAATATGAAAAACACTGAAAGTAACTGTTAGAAAAGTCAGTGAAATGTAATTACAATAATAAATGAAGTGAATCGGACTAGTTCATGAAAATATTACGCATTCTCAGGCATTATTAGAAATACAACTGGTTACTCAATATTAACAAGTAGTATAAAGAAATACACCGAAATCAGAGGGGAATAAAGGAGGAATTGAACCTAAAACTTTCGGCTTTTTCAGTGAAGATTATGCTCTTATAAACCGCTGAATGCGATCCAATACTTCATACTTAAATTCGATCGATTTATAGTGTACAGGATGATATTTATTCAAAGTCATCAATTATTTATTTTCTAAATCTCAACTGTATTTACTTAAGAGTGTACGGATTCCCATTCAATCAGTCATAATTAATGAAGAGACTAACACATATATATGTTGACTCGAATTACCATACCACGTCAGCACAACGAGATAAAGTAAACAAAATGAATGGTGAGGGGGTCGAAACAATGTAGTAGGAATGATAACGAAAAAGATTGTACATTTACAATATAGTCAGAAAAGACAGGATGACAAGATATGCAAAAAGAAATCAGATGAAGAGTAGATGAATCTAAGGTATGCAACTCAACATCGCTAATTGCTTATCGGCGTTATCATTTCAAACTAACCAAGTAGTATATATATATCAACGTACATCAGTTTAACAATCAATGACGTAATGAACTGATCCTGAAGGAAAAGATAAAAGAAAAACAAGTGGAAATACAAATGAAACTTACTCAACCATTTCTCTATGCCCATATTTACAAGCGATATGTATTAAATTACGCTGTTTATTGTCTTTAATCTCCGCAAGTTTACTTGAACACCATTGGTTCATGCAAGAAGAATCATTTGCACTGACTAATTGAAAAAGTATTTTTAATTTGGAAATATCACCAGAACGAACTAGTTTGATAATAATCGATTTTAGTTCTTCTTCATTTTGAAATAAAGTTTCCAGATTTGGACAGTTATGCATGCTTCTGTGATTTATAAAGCGAAAAAGAAAAACTAACTAATCATAATGGTCACTAGTAGTGAAGAAAAAACCACAATCAGAAATATATTGTTCGTTATGCTTACTAGGGATCAACTTCGAGAGCCAATTCTTGAAGTCCTATAATATAGTGATAACCAGTGGAATTCAATTATATTAAGTATGAGACAAATATCACCATTGTCAGTGGATAGTAACTGGAGTTAGAGATGCAAACTATTGGATCCCAACTCAGTAGTTTGAAAGTTTAATGTCTCGCCACGAGACCTTAAATTCATAGGTTCGATCCGTGGTAGAGCCATGGATGTGCACTACTAATGAGTCCTATACTGGGGTGAAACATCCATCCAGTGCCTCTTATTTTCAATTGTTATCTCACTAAATTTAGTTCGTAATGTAAAGTTACAAATCTAAATAACAATAGCTTTTGAACAGATCTCAGTTTAGTTGGTAGTTAGACAGGTGAATTACAGATAGATTTATACGATATAGTAATCAGTGTATTGAACACATTTCATACGAAGTAACTAACAGGCATACTACTTGGGTCAAATGTTTTGTACAAATAAATAATGATCTGGATTCCTTAACATATACAACCACATACGTTTTAAATTCTCTAGTACTTCTATCTTTTAAAATCTATTTGCTCGATATTTAACGATAAATATCATGAGTAAAATTATCAGTTCGACCTTGTTAATCATAACCAATATTTTATCAGATAAACTGAGTCGACATAGCAGTTTTCAGTAGTCAATGTTAATATTATTTGCGCAAACCGATAACACGGTGATAACAATGAGCAATAGTTGGAGATGTGTAATATAATAGGTCGGAGGGGTGCAGACATAATTTCTCTTTGTGTACCCTCAGATGAAAACTCAGTATCATTTTATAGGATTATGTTCTCTCATTTCAATATTTTCTGTACTATCGCTTATACTACTACTACCACCACAACTTCGGAAGTCATTTTATCAATTTCATACTACTGCGCTGATGTTGTGGCAACTTGAAAAAATGGACATTTGTACCAGGTCTTAATTTGTTTATGATTGTCTGGGCCGATAGTTAGGGAGTAGCTAATGTCATGATTGATTTTTATTACTCGTTAAATTTTTTTTTAAAGTTAACAGTATGACTAATATACTAAAAACTTAATATTTAAGGAGCAGCACTTTATTTTTATGTTGAGAATTTCTAAAAAAACGATCGATATGAAACAGTTAATCCTAGTGTCCTAAATATTGATAGTAACCATACGAACAAAAAGGAGAATCAAGACAGTATCACTTGATCAGGGTACATTTCATAAATAGTACGAATATCACAACCAGTATGAATACAAGTGGGTTATTATGAACTACGTTATGAAAATTATGTATTCAATGTAGGTTTTAACAGTAGTTTCAGTTGTTAGTAGTGCCAATAATAGGTATCTTTCTATCGTAGCCGATTACACTAATGTGGATCAAAGAATGAAGTTAGGCTGACACTGTAAACGTTAATGATGTCATTACCTCATGACATGCAGATTAAACACAACAGGACTACGTATTTAGGCCTCAAGTAATTAATTTCGATAAAAAACGAAGATATAGTACTGATGATAAGAAGAGAGAAGTTAGAGTAACAAATATGCATTTAGAAACGAACAAAAAAATATTATCGTACCAGTCCAATATAATTTAAGTTCTGAAAATTCATGAGATTTTTAATATGTTCTATGTATTCAGTCGACTCCGCTTCTAAGTAATTGCTCATAGTAGATATGATAAAAAACACCCGGACAATATCACATTCCTTGAAAAAGTCGAATAATGAAGTGTGGCGCATATATATTAGAAACCTCCTTGTACCAATGTTTATGTGTTTAAATAAATAAATCGGATGACCATTCAGTCATAATAAACATAGAGCCCGGCATGGATGAAAATTGCCACACCATATTACCACAACGGAATCACATTATGAAGGTGAATATCGAAGTGGTTATAGTATAAGTAATAGTCCGAAAGTATTAGAATTAGAGTATATAACTTGAAAAAGAATTGGTTTGTGGAATAAAAGGTATAAAATAATCTTAGAACTCAGAATCTAAAGGAAGATCAAGAGTGAATATATCTGCATCACTGATGCTTAGCTAAGTCACCAAACATCTGAAGTTTACGATAACTGCATGAACCCTAACCACATAGCCCTTATCTAGCAGCTAAGCTCAACTCACAAGTCAGTGACTTCATGAACTATAATATATCATGGTTTGAGAGAGCTTAACTTTCTTCCAATTTACTCCTAGACCATTAAATATTACGTGTAGAAGTAGGCAGTGGTTGGGTATAAGCAATATAAATTCTAACCACCTCCATCGACAAAGATTCACAACATTACTAACCACTTTACCGTTTTTGGCTAGTAAGTTGAATCCAACTCCAAGTGGTCAGAAATTATGCGAATAATACTTCAAAGACATCTGTGACCAAATTCGTAGATGTACACAAATTTTCACAGGACCAGTTATACACTATATACCTGAGCATTAATGATCTTCACTAATTAATTTCTTTTTGAGATCATCTATTATTTGTTTGTTTAAACACATAATCAAAGGGGCACCGAATACATATGCGCCACACCAGTCACTTGATTTGTATGTGGGTGCTCAGATCAAAGCAGGTGGTTTTCTGAGGAGGCCACACCCGGAGCCTTCGACCTAAAGGTCTGATCCACAAAGCAGTAGAGCAACGTCAGATGTAATCCCATGCCAGCCGGTGACCAACACGAGGCTCACACGCCATTTGTTTCCTTAGGATCCTGGAGCCCATGTATACCATTGGTTTGGAACCAGGGTTTTCCAACTCCCTTAGGTGGATCTTCTATATCCACCAACCCGGTTAAAGCGCCGGACATTCACATTTTGTTCTCTCAAGTTCAAAAACAACACCCTCGTCACGAGAAGGTAGTGAGTAGAACTTCTCTGGCAGTGGTTGTATGCATGTGGCCATAAGGTTGTGTATTATGCTAAACGAGATTTTCAAATGGTCCATGAATGGAACATGTGAAGTTTTTCAACTATAGCCTCAAACCAAATATTGCAATCATGATCAACGGATGCCCTAACAATATAAAAATCTATGATGGGCAGAAGTATAAAAAATGTCACTGGCTAATCCCTTTTTCGTGCAGCAAATTGTAATATACAGGTTGAATACTTCTGATATTGGTTAGTAGAGAAATCCGGGTTGCGGGTTTCGTTTCAAGTGGAATCCGTCAGTTAGATGTATCTACGCCCATTCTGATAACTGAACTCGGACCCAGTACCATTTGCCCTGAAAATTCGACGCGTTCTTCACTTAGTTACAGAGTTCAGATAATCACCAACCTGAAATTGTTGATTATATAGTTTGCATAACTAAGAAGTCGAATTAATTAGCATATATTCAATCAGTTTGTTGCTGGTGCAAATAACAACCCCACAAAAATTTACTAACTCAGTCACATCAAATGTTTCAGTAATTTTATTGATGGATTTTTCTGGAAGTATGATCACTTACACAAGCAAACACATGCATCAAACTATGTACATATCAGGGAATTCGATACTTTCTTGAAGAAATCAAAGCGATAAATTTATTCACAAAATTCATTATATTTTTTTTATTTTTATAATAATAATACTAGTAGTAATGATAGTTATGATAACAGTAGAAAGAAATATTGAATAACACAAACAAGCAACACTGAAAGGAGGTTGAACAGGAAAAGAGAATGTGGCAATCACCGCAAAAAAGAAAGGGAACGCGGGAAAGTTACAGTATGAAAGATAAAATGAAGAGTTAACTTGCCTACCTCAGATTATCTTAACATGAGTATGATAAGTACCATCGCTATTATAAAAGTCGAATTCTTTTTTAACAATAGATAGATAAGTGTATAACGTGTATAGCTGCCTGAACAAAAAGTATACATATGTTAAAGATGAGAGAAACAGATGACAAGAAAGATAAAGTAGGAGGAATAAAACAAAAGAGGCGTGGTCTCTTCAGTCCAATGTTAACTCACACTTTTACCTAATAAACAATGAGGGAAAAAGTATAAATACACAAAGGAGAGTTGAAGGAGGATGCAAGAGAAATTGAACTACTAAAGAAACAATGCAATCAAGGTTCAATAAATTTATAAGAATGGGAAATATGAGAAAAAAAAACAATAGAATTATCTGCTTCGTACAATTAGTCCTTTAGGTGTTAATTCTAATTGTAGTTTGTCAACATTTCACTTACATACTAATTAAACAAAAGTTGGAATATTTTCACGGAGTAAAATAAAGTTTTCAATGATTCTCTTCAATACATGACCTTTTACTCTCATGTCGTGAGGTGAACAAAGTGAAGAAAGGTGTGTGTGTGAAATAAAGGGAAAAATAAGTAGTTGGACAAACAAAATATTAACAAGACGTGAATTTCTATTCTTCCCACCTATTATTAACATTATTACTACCAGAATCCTATTACATAATACCGACAAAACTTCGAGGTAGACTTGATTACTCCTGAGTATGAACATGGATATATATATATATATATATATATATATATATATATATATTAGCCTGACTCAAAAAAATGCACAAACAAGGAAAATAATTTGTACACAAAACTACGCAATATATTTACATAGTGTACACTGTGTAGAGGTATGTGAAAAAAGCAAAATATCTTAAATACACAAACAGAAGAGAAGACATTGGGATAAAGAGGGGAAAAATCCTGTCTGGATTAATTAACTGACTAAATACAATGTATAAATAAGAGAAATTGAGCGACGATCTGTCTACAGAAAAGACTGATGATAGTTGATGCTAGCCGGAGAATGAGCATTTCTTGGTAAATTTTCTATAACTAAATATATATATATATATGTTTATAAAAAAAGGAGTATGGCTAGAAAATATCTACATACTAACGGTATAATTACAGTAGAATATATAAATATTCGAGGTAGATTAACGGAAGAAAAGTAGAAATAACGTGAGATTGGCAGCCGGTAGGAAAGTGATGAAGGCAATACACAATAGACATACAATTATTATAATCATCTATTTAAAAATTAATTGTAGACAGATCAAAAGAAAACAAAGATGAAATACCTCTGTACATAATCAAAATAGTATAATTGAAAAAACTACTAATGAAATTCTTCTAAAAAAACATTATTCACTACATCCTATAAGTTGATTTATTTCTTTAATCGACTACAAACAAGATAACACTTGACAAAAGTATCATGAAAATGTTCGGTTTCCTCGATAAATAAAACAAAAATCCTGATGGTTGATAATGATTGTCTTGTACAGTTTCTCGTATAAAAGAATGAAAAAACATAGAAATAATACGTAGACGAGTAGGGAAGTTAGAAAGATAGTGTTGGGGGGAGGAACTGAAGCGATATTTTTTTTGTCCCAGTGAGGTAACAACAACAACAATGATGGTGATGATGAGGACAAAAAATGGGTACCAAAATATATATATTAGATCAATATCAACACATATACACTATTAACACTTGAATGAATATAAATACAACATACGATATTTTGAACGAAAATTAGAAGATTAAAATGAAATGAAAAGAGAGTAGCACAAAATTAGGGAGAAATCGCGTACACACGCATAATTTGATTTTAAATGCAACATTAACTGTGACAGAAACAATAATAACCTCTCCATATATATGGAAAATGTTCTCATTTCATTGGTATTGTTATTTACTGTAATTTATTCTACAAAAAAAGCAAAAAGAACTAAATGAACCTGAGCTCAGTTGTAAAAAGGCTTAAAGTAGGAAGAATAATTCTGAAGACAGAGAGAGAAGAAAAAGAGGGAAAAATACGCAAAAAAATACTCCTATTGAAATGCACTCATACACTGATTTACATTTATTCGTATTGAATTAGAAAATACCAGGCCTGACAGCAACTGTATGTATGTGCGTATTGGTGAATATATGTATAGATAAGTGAAATACACCCTGTTTATCTTTAAGTCGAAGAAATATTATACAGTGAAGAAGATGAAGGATTTAAGTTGAGGTAGATTAGTATTTTTGATTGTATTTATTTCTTTATGTCTGTGCAATAGTGGTTACGTAATTACATGTATCGCTTCCTACTTGTATAGTCGTAAATACCAAATAATAATTCTATTATTGAAGGGAAATGTGTAAAATGTTTTATTCACAGCCTAGTACATACACATGCAATATAAACACAGATGGTTACAGAAAGAAATATAACAACGAAGAAAGCAACAACAATTCGGTAATATTTTGATTTTTCAATTTCAATCCCACTTGTGATAATCATAATCATCACCATCATGAAATTCAACTTAGATCCTTCATCCTCTTCACTGTATAATATTTCTTCGACTTAAAGATAAACAGGGTGTATTTCACTTATCTATACATATATTCACCAATAGGCACATATCTGCTCATTACGCACATACATACAGTTGCTGTCAGGCCTGGTATTTTCTAATTCAATACGAATAAATGTAAATCAATGTATGAGTGCATTTCAATAGGAGTATTTTTTTGCGTATTTTTCCCTCTTTTTCTTCTCTCTCTGTCTTCAGAATTATTCTTCCTACTTTAAGCCTTTTTACAACTGAGCTCAGGTTCATTTAGTTCTTTTTGCTTTTTTTGTAGAATAAATTACAGTAAATAACAATACCAATGAAATGAGAACATTTTCCATATATATGGAGAGGTTATTATTGTTTCTGTCACAGTTAATGTTGCATTTAAAATCAAATTATGCGTGTGTACGCGATTTCTCCCTAATTTTGTGCTACTCTCTTTTCATTTCATTTTAATCTTCTAATTTTCGTTCAAAATATCGTATGTTGTATTTATATTCATTCAACATAAACACAGATGGTTACAGAAAGAAATATAACAACGAAGAAAGCAACAACAATTCGGTAATATTTTGATTTTTCAATTTCAATCTCACTTGTGATAATCATAATCATCACCATCATGAAATTCAAATTTGTTCAAGTTCTCATTTTCTTTGTTCATCTATAAACAGAGTATACACTAACATATACATGTTAAAGAGAAACCATAGATCTATTTCTATTCAGATTAGAAATATTGAAAGTAGAATTCTTGAAACATAAGTTGTGTAAGTGAAGTTAGCATGATGTCAGATGGAAAGATGACAACAGTCCTTCCTGCCTTACTTGTAGTTCTCTTTCCCTTCCCAAATAGACAAGAATATAAGGATACAAATAAAGCAAAAAATAAACGATCAAGAAGTAGAAAAAAAGAATAAATGCTTTTCATGATAATATTGAGGCATGATTTACGAGTGTTGTTGTTGTTGTCGCCGGCATTGTTGTCACTGTTGATAAAGACTCGTGTAGTTGTTCATTAAATCTGTTAATATTATTTGCGGTAATAACATGGTCATCATTGTTAATAAAACAATGATTATAAACCAGTTGATTTGTAGTAGTTGGAGTATATAAGGAAGAATTAGTATAAGAATTAAGAAATGCTGTACAAGACAACTGCGAATCAATGTCTTTCAATAATGATGCATCATTATTATTACAGCTGTTATTTCTATTGTTGAATTGAGGAATAGAAGTAGGCGAATGAAGAGAAGTAAGTGGGAAAGTTGAAGGGATAGGAGAAGTAAATGGTGTAGTAGATAAGCTTCCTGTAGCATTTACCATCATTGTAGTACCATTATTCGGATTATTTGTACATAATGAAGAAGCTTGATTAGTATGTTTTATCACTTCATCATTTGATCGACAATCAGCATCCGTAGATAATGATGGTGTGAGAATAACTTTTGAATTAACATTAGTATATGCGAACTGACATGTTGGCATTATATAAGATGATGCTATTGATCGTGGTGATTTCATTGATGTCATTGGATTACAATAAGATGGTTGCACAGGAAGTGATACTCGACTACGTTTTGTTAACAACATTTCACTTAATAAACTTTCATTAGGTATTTTACCAAGTCTATATCGCATGAGTAAAAAACTTTCTAACTGGAAAGCAAGAAATTTAACTTCTGCTAATTCTAACAAAATTTGGCCATATCTATCTGGTAGAAGAATAGTATTCAATTCATTTGACGATTCATGATCTAGTTTTTGAGATTCACTGGATTCATTTATTAAACGTAGAAATCGTCGTGAACGCTTCAATAAGAAATGACAAAATTTTCCCTGAATTTTCAAGGCATAACTTAAGTTTGATGTTAGAAAGGTATCTGAAAAAAATAATGAGAGATAACATGATTTCTATGTGTTTATCACAAATATAAAAACAGTATTGAATAATAATAATCTCAATATTATCTTACAAGTATTAAATAACTGTACCTAGTCGATTAAGTTCACACTACAATTGGAAGTAGAACTCATAATTTCATTTCCTCGATAGTTTTTTGAATTAAAGACTAGATGGTTCTTTAAAAGATCTATAAGCAGAAGGCTAAACTGGAAAGAACAATTTAACAAGCTTCCATAATCGTGTATCTTTGAGGGCTAGACGAATATCCACAGAGGGCACAACTGACAATGAGTTGAATATAATTGGACGAATACTTATAGAAAATGTTTTTCTCTGATATATTTTTTTAAAACCGAAACGCTGAACAGAACGTGCTCATACAGTATGGAAGATATTATGTAATAATAGTGAGTCCAAAGGGGATATAAGAGTAGAAATCCTGAAGAAAAATCGACTATTTAAAAATTTGAGAGTCCTCTTATTTGGTGAGGTTTCGAATGGATGTTTTCCAGAAAAAAAGTTCCAATAAACAAATCAAGCTTACGCTACCTTAGTGTGCATACATCGTTTTAATTGTAGTAGATTATAATGTATCTTAAGAACTAATTCATTTAATGGAATGAGGGTGTTGGACTGGCCTTTTTTCGGTTTTCTTAAATTGGATAAGTTCTACTTAAAAGTAAGACAAAACTATTGTTGTCCGACTTGAATAACACTGACAACAACAAAAGAAAAACAAACAGCCACAATCGTATTGTACTATAATTTAATTTTCAAAAAAGTATTGATAATAAACAAGATAGTAAATAATAACAATCATAGCAAATTACTTTAGCCTTATTCTCAACTGTTTTAAGGTCAACTTGCTAAACTATCGGTAAGATACTCCTAAGGTCATTTGTTTTTACTTTATTCAACAGTGCACACACATATACACACGTTTATTATTATTATTATTATTATTATTATTATTATTATTATTATTATTATTATTATTATTATTATTAGCGCGTGGATATTAAAGAAGCTTATGTTAGTGAAAAAAGTAACTTCGAATCAGATTAGATATTTTACATATATTTATCAAATATTTATATGATAAAGATACTAGATTGCTACAAAATGATGGGGCTTTGAAGAAAAAAAAACTTATATAGGGTACGGTCTATTCATGAGCTGATTGGACGAACATAAAACAAAAAAAACGTGAACTAGCTATAAGTATTATTAATATATTTTTGTTAAGAACACTAAAATGATATTTAACATTCACTCAAATTTAAGATAATAAAAGTGATTCAAAAGAAATGCAATAAATGAATTAAGCAATTTTACAGGAGAAATATATGAAGTTGTATGTTTAAAGTTGATGAATAGTCCTAGTATTTGAACAATAGGTCAATACAAGTAATATAAATCAAAGAACAGAAACTGAAATCTCTGCATAAATCTCAAAATGATATCAAGTAGTCAGTCTAATAAAAGCTATAGGGAAGCAGATAAACAGACTACGTGTGAATTCGCGTCAAATCGTAATCAGAATATGATGGTTCTGAACTGAGCTATTGATTCAAGACACGAGAAATAAATGTCAAACATTGTAGGGTACGTGTATTAAAGAAGCTTCGAGTAGTTTTAACCATTTTTAAAATAACAAAATATACCAATTAAGTGAACCGAATTAAACAGTCAATTCAGCGAAATCATTAACAAAATCATACACTTTCTAGTGATTGTATGTAGTGGGAACATCCGTGAGGTCAGATACCACTACCGATAAAAGTTATTTTTAACTATTACTCATTAGAAATACTCGGATAAACTGTTTTATGACATCATTAAATTATTTCAGGTGTTATAAAGTCACACCGTTAACTTAACAGTTGCAAGACTATCATTATTCTAGATACCCTGAACATTTATTAAACTGTACTAAAATTGATTATGGGCTAATTCACTCATTCAGTAGTGAATCATTAATATGTTATTCTAACTACATTAATTGAAATATCAGTATTTAACATTTATAGGTAATGTTTATTTAATCGAACAAATTGTAGCTGCTTTCTGTCAATCAGCTTGAAACCTATCAAAACTCAGTGATCACTATGATTATAAATGAAATGACATTGATAGTCATGAAATTGAAAAATCTACTAAGACTATAATTTAAAATAACACTAGATTATGAAAAACAATGAGCTATACTAATGATACTACTTAACTAATCATGAGCGGATGGTTCATTATCAAACAAGAGAAAGAATAATTAATCAGAAAAAACTCTTGGAATAAAAACACACTTACCATGTTTCAAAGGATTAAACAAAACAATAAATTTCAAACAAGTAAATTCTTTATTATCCAACTGAAGTTTTTGAAATATTGTCAATAAATCATTTAATTTATGTTTCAAGTCTGATTGACTACCTCCACAGTTATCGACACCACCTAGAAGATTATTTAATAGGTTTTCAATAAGATCACATATCTCCATAGATGCAGAAGAATGGGATAGTAACGAAGATGATGTTGTTGGTGTTGTCGCTGTGATATTAGTAGTAGTGGTAGAAGTCAATGAGTTATTTTCATTACAATTAATAGAATTTGTATTAATTGGAAATAACGATGAGCAAACATTCAATGGATCCATGGCATTTTTACGTCTTTTAGAATCAGTTAATATCTGATGAAGAAAGTGTTAAAGAAAAATTTAATTAATCATTGTAGAGAAAATAAGTAGTAATTTTGAGAAAAGTGCTTACGACAGTTAAGTTGTAATGAATGAAGACTTGGTTAGAGTAAACCAATTTGTTATATTATGCAAAATCATACCCTCGATTTGTAAAATATGAAATCAATTTATTAAATATACCGTTTGTACATCTTCCTTAAATTGTCTCTTAGAAACACCATCGTTATTCCAGTCCAGTTGCCACTCGGACTTCTGTTATGGTTCAGCGAACAGATAATGGCGACTGTCTGTTGCAGTTATGCTCAGATAACCATCTATTCCTGGCAAACACCAACTTAGAGCATCGTCTGAAGTGGAGACATCCACAATTATCTCATCGATGAACCCGAATAGACCACATTACCGCAAGTTAACGTCGGAGGGTTTTGATTAAAGACTGCCGCTCATTCTGGAGCACATATTTAGACTCGGATCATGATTCAGTTCGAGTATGTATTTGTCCGTGCCTTACCTGACGTAGATAAGCCACAGCAATAAAAGCTCTTCGAGTCCAACTTAATGATGAAAAATTTAAGAATGTATTTTAGGGACAACTAGAGGAGTTAATCAACCACAAAAATGATATCCACTCTGAGGTAGCTTGATCTGTCTAAAAAGATACGGAAACAGCAGTGATATCGACTAGTAAATCAAACCAAAAGATTAGGAAAAACCAGTGGATTTCAGTGATGTCTACAGAATTGATAGATACTCGGAAACTCATCCCGTCTGGCTCTGAACACGATGAAGAGTATGTAATGATTGTAAGCAGTGATTGTAACGAAAACAAAAGCGATGGGAAAGACAGCAGCGATAGGTGACAGTAGGCAACTCTTCAGATTTATCAAAGAAACGGGTATTAAAATCCAGTTGGAGAAAGACGTGGCTATTATTCAATTTCAATCCAGGAGACTGAACCGATGGGTAGAACACTTTAGAGAACACTTCAACAGGCTTTCAGCCACACTTCAGTTACTCATTATCTCCAAGCAACCTGACTGGAATGCTATAAGCAATCTAAAGTGAAGGAGAGCAGAAGGGACTGATGTACTAACCCATGAAGTTTTTCAGGTTTGTGGTTCAGTTTTAGCAGATAGGTTACCTGAGTCTTAGTTAAAATCTGGGAACTGGATGTAATCCCATCCGAGTGGTCACGACCGCAGATTTTCCTAGTTTATGAGTACAAATTTCCCCTTGTGGCAATCACAGAGGAACCAGTTTAACTAATATAGTGTCTAAAATATTAGCTTCCATAATACTTCGAAGTTTAATTAGAGCTCGTGAAGAGAAAATTGGAGAAAATCAGGTTGGTTTCAGACCTGGTCGTGAATGTGTAGACCAAATATTCACCCTTCGGCAGGTTCAATTGGCTTTCGCCAACTTGTGTCACTTGTAGCGTAGGTGAGATATCCATCTTCCAATCAAAAGGAGAGTTTACTGCGCAGCAGTTCGCCTCGTCCTACTTCATGGATTTGAAACATGGCCATTAACAATAGAGTATATCCGTAGGTTGCTAGTATCCCATCATAAATGTCTACGAAGCATTGTTCGTGCATTTTAGGACCGCGAAGTAAGTGATGTCTGATGTCTGTGGCGCATATATATTTGATGTCTGATTTAGAACTGGAGCACTAGGTAAATATAGGTAATCGATTGATGGGCTATTACATTTTCATCAAATGAGGCAGTTTGGATATGTGTAACGTATGCCTAATCACCGCCTACTTCGATGGGAGATGTTTTCTGGTGTAGCAGACTGAAAGAAAGCTAAGGGTGGTCGAAACAAAACGTCTCATCAGTCTATGACGTCATTGACAATTGAGCTGAGCCATGTTAATAGGTGTAGACTACTTGGTTAGTATCCGCATGATTATCATAGCCAGTAGTTAAAGACTTCAAATGACGTGGCTCGAAATCGTTTACAATTGTTTGTCTTCCTTTAAATTCTAGGACTCTAAATTCCCGATGACCTGTTTCTTTTCATTTCACTGAAAAATATTTTCTTTGCGAGTCTTAGATTTGACATTAATCCTTTCTATTACGATTGATACTGTTACTGTATCTACTATTCTGGGATCTGGCCTGGCAACTTCATCTCGCTGTGTTAATGGGGTTTGGTAACTTGAATCGATGCACATGCATACAGGCTATACATTATGTCCGACTGACACATACTGCTAACATCAGTCCGCGTAAGTAACGCAAACCAAATTTTTTATTTTATTATTTTATTTGAACACATAAATATTATTATAATGAGGAACCAGATATATATACGCCACACAATAACAATGAGAATGAAAAGATATAAAGAATGTAAGGTGTGTATAAGAAAAAAGTACAACAATGAACAGAAATTAGTGTATGATAGTGAAATAACAATAATGAGAGGGGCAGTTCAATTAGCAAAGTACAGCCTCAGATAATTCTTCCACTTAAAGAAGTTACATTTTTTTATGAAGTAAAAGAAGGTCACAGTAGGATCGCCACTGGCTTCTATTCTAATAACGTCTCTAGCCACTGTATTGCACCATCTCTCGGACCCCAGCCAGAGAGTCGTGAAGGACCAACAGAAGCTAGCCCTTTGCAGCTTTCTTTCATACCACAACACCATATCATACACTAACCACGTCTCCGCTTTTTCCAACCAGTCCCAGAGTCGGCAAACAATGCACGACGAGGAATTCTCTGGGACGACATTCGTAGAACATGTCCAAATCACCGAAGTCGGTGTTTCAAGATAGTAACACCAATTAAATTATACGATGCAGAACCTTTGCATTACTAACATGGTGTTGCCACTGGAATAGAAGGAAGCCCTGATTACAAGAAGCAATAAGATTGTTGACTTGTGATAAGCACGACGGTGTTCTAACATTTGACAGAGGGTGAAGATATGATCAATACATCCTCGACAAGAACGAAAACCAGCCTGTTCCTCATTCTTTCTCGAGTTTTGAACAACCTACGAAGTATGACGGAAGCCAATAGTTTGGACGCAATCGGAAGTTGACTTATCCCAAGATAGTTCTTGCATAGATGACGTGAACGCTTTTTAAAGATAGGGACGATTATCGACTCATTCCATGATGTTGGAACACTCTCTAACTCCCAAACATTTGTAAACAACGTCGTCAGTTCCTTAATCGGAAAGTCACCACCATCTTTAAAAAGAGCCGGGGGTAAGTCATTTAGATCCGGTGATCCGAAGCGCTTCAAGAGTTGGAGTTCCTTGCAGACTTCCGCCCCATTTGGTGGATCAGTCGTCACCGGCCATGGAGGGCAGGAAAGTCTGATGGATGTTGCCGGGGCAGCAGACCAGTTGAACTGTCCTTCGAAAAACTCTGCCCATTGTCCAAGACATCGATAGATGTTAGTGATCGGCATCCCGTCATCCCCACAGATTGTTTTGTTCACACCAGACTTCTTGCTGCCAGTGGCTCGGGTGAGTTGAAAGAGCCTCCGGCAGTTACCAGATGTAGGTGATGCTTCTAACTCATTGGCACTCTCCGACCACCAGGCTTCTCGGTCCCTACGCAAGTTCTGCCCAAATTCATTACTCAACAATCGTCGTTTGTGGTGAAACTCACGGTCACCCGGAGTAGACCGACGGGCTTTAATGAGCTGTAAGGAGGCTGTATAAACCTAGTGTTTCACGAGGCCACAAGCGACTTTACTTTTCATTCTCTTGGCGTCATGCAGTTGCAACCAATGCTCGTCCATACTCTTCGGTGGAATGGTAGCTAGCCTAGAAGCTAACTCGGTTCGATACTTAGTTGCAATAGAAGTTGAAACCAATTTAATGACATCAATCCGTTTAGGACGATGAATTTGTTGGCCACTGAAAAGTAAGATAAGATTGGCGCAAACAAGTGCATAATCACAGTGCAGATAGGTACTCCAAAAGGGGCATCAGTCTTGGACACAACTACGCCAGCGGTAGCTGATCGCGATGTGATCAATCTGAGTCCAGGCATGAGATGCAGAGGGAGGACGCCAGGTGGCACATAGGGGATGACTATGCTGGAAGTTAGTGCTAGCCAGAAATAGTTTGTGGTCTGCGCACAGTTGCAGTAGACGGTTCCCGTTATCTGACCTGCAACCAACAAGTCCCCATTGGCCACCTAAACGACTTCCTCTGTGCCTTGATGCCCAACCTGAGCATTCAAGTCTCCGGCTAGTACTACAATATCTATCGAACGCACTTTCTGTAGAACACGACACAAAATAATTATAATAATGACAACAAACGATAATCGGAGATTTAGAAACACTAGAGGATCAAATGAATAAGATTGAAAAGAACTTTTTTTGAAAAGGGAAACAATTTAAGCCAAAAGAACGGTTATGGGAGTCAAGTACAGTCACCTGTTATACTAATACGTTCAATTTTACAATTGGTTGATCAGTGTGTATTGACTAATGTCATGTTACTCGTATTCTTAACTGATGACTGAATTCCTTAGATTAAGTAGTGATTCGCCACCTAGTCCACATGCTTAGATATCGCATATATACTATTTTGAAATGTTGGCGATTGAGAATAGTTGGCAGGAAACCATGGGTCTAGGTTTCGTGTTAGTTGACATAAATACCACAGACAGCATCGGTTCGCTGAAGATTGCAGGTACACCTTACTGATGAATGCCAACTGGCATGAGGCGCAGGACACGTACTTCTCAACTAACTCCAAACTACTTAACATTGTATTGTCGAAGAGGGTTTACAATGGGATGATTTGGTCGTCAAAATGTTGATTCAAATTAAATCACTCGATGGGTTGGAAGATTAGTTGTGTTGATTTATAATCAATATGACAAATTAGGCTTAAAAAATTTTGCATTGGATTAATAACGTCAATAATAATGATAATAATATTAGTTGTAAAAACTATATGGATATATTGTGTAATGAGGAAAATATTATCCGAGCAATTGTGAGAAATTCATATGAATTGAAAGATAAACGAGCAAATTAAGGATGTGGGCAGGGAAGTGAGAAACATGAAAGAGGATTAATGTGTAAAAGTATATAATATGTGGTTTATGCATGGGATAACAAAGAGGATAAATGTCTCTCTTTCAGATACATGAATCCAGCTTTCTGGAGTTGATCCCAGATGCTTAAAATACGTAGAGGAATCTTAACCTCTCCACTTTAATTAGATTGCTGGGGACTGGATACAAGGCACTCATTCAACTATTTGACATAGGCTGAAACAATAATTTAAATATACAATAAACAGCATATAACTTATTTAAAAGAACACATTTAGATTATCAATATGTTTATGCAAAGAAAAACATAAAGGGAACTAATAATTATATTTTGTATTTCTTTAACAAAACCAATTGAATTCCCATTAGTCTAAAAGAAGGGAGAGTTTATGTCAGAGTAAAGACAAATTAATCTGTCTTTTGATAACATGACTATAAAAAAGATAAATTTAAAGAGAAAGTAGAGAGAAATAATACAGGGCAAAATTACTTACTGTATTTGTTCGTTTAGCATTATTTAAATGTGTTACATAAAAATGAATAAACTCTAGTAGGATAATTTCACTCCAACTACTATTCAACAATTGCATTTTATCTTCGACCTAAAAGTACGGAAGTAAAAAGAAAATGATATTAAAATGATATAAATCACTTAATTATGAAATAAAGATTTGTGGATAACCCTCAAATTTGAATTACATATTTTCTAGATGGCAATTATTAATAGTTCCGACTACTCAAGCCAAAAGGGATGAACTGGCATTCGCACTTACGAACTTAATGGTTTGATATAAATGCTTAAACAACCACTAGCCTATTACCAAAAAAAAGACTGATAATGGGGCTAGAAAGCAGAGCGCTCACTGTAATTCTTCAAATTCAAACTCACATAAGATCACGACTTAACACTTTGCTGGGAAATCCGATATCGAATGATTCCCAGTAGCTCTAAAGCTACAGTCAACTTGTGATAAGAATCAACTTTCAAAATAGTCCTACTGCGACCAAAAAGTGACATAATTTGGAAAGTATTGTTGGTGAAAAAAAATTATAATTAGAGTTTAAAATAAAGATATTTGACACATTATTATGTACGTTGAACTATGGTTATAAAACAATCAGTTTCTTCCATCCTGTATATACAGTACATCTTTTCGAGGCAATCTGCATAGGATGCACATACGCAGTCCTAAGAATCAGTGGGAAGAGTCAAACAACGAATACAAATATCAGTCTGTCCATATGGTTCTGTTTTATAATCATGACACATGATTTATACGAGTGGAAATAGTCAAGGAAGTTCATCACTTATATTGTCAAACAGATGATTGGATGATATGTAAATAGTGCTTAGCCATTTCACAGTACAATTCCAATGGAAAGGATCGAATCAGCACACCCCACGTCATCATGATTGAAAAATACATTATCAATGTCTCATCAATGACTTAGATATCAAGCAGGTCAAACAGTTGCAATAACAATTAAACCCAAACTTACACGAACAACAACTAAAGTCCTTATCTGTTTTCAAAAGGATCATAGGATAGTTATGATAATGTATTTGTAACAATAAATAGAATTTAGACATCAATTTACTGCTTTACTGGTATATTTCTAGTTAACCAATTCAAATAAAACTAGCACAACTTTTGAAAAACCACAAGAAAACCTAGTGACCCATGAGAGTATGCAATATTAGTTATTTTTCCCCAAATAATGAACAGACTAGTCAAATCTCACGTTGGGCTACATATATAATCTGACATTTCAGTGCATCTGATACAGATGTATTGAGTTCATTGTCCAGATAATGCGATTTTACATATCAGTACCATCTTATCAATTTAACCTATTCATATGACATGAGTAGAAACGAAGTCGTTTATTAAGAACCAATTATGCTCAAGGTCATCAACGTAAACTTTTAGATGGTGCTACCCATGAACTCCGATCTAAAGTTCAATTCTTGCTAAAAATCAATTCTGATGATGCTGTCTAGAATGATAAATGTAGATTTCATAATTACTTGATTTAATAAGGTTAATTTAACAAAGTATATAGTATATTTTTCTTGAACATTGACAATAAATAAAAAAAATGAAAAAAATTAAATAAGTGTGAAATAAACAAAGAAACTTGCAGATGAAACTATAACAAAGAAGTTACTTCCATATTACTTAAAGTAAAAGATTACATATAACAATATGTAAGACGGTATTACCACATAAAAAATGTTTAGCAATAAACAAAGATAAATTCCTGCAAGTATAAAATGAAGTAAGGGATTGAATAATTTGCTAAATTAAGCTCTCTCCTCTCAATAAATGCATTATTTATTTGTTCGAACACATAAATATTGGTAGAAGGGGGCACCAGAATTATATGCGTTGAGAATATAGATATGCATTGCGAAAAATTAACAATGCACTGTGCATTTATCAATAAGAAATGTTAGACAATTTATACTGTTAAGTTTGTTTTATCCCAAATAATTATACTAATGAGTTCTATTTGAAAACCAATTAATGCTAACACCTACGTTACCTATATTCTAACCACCACCTCCACTCCCGTTGCCACTAGGTGGATAATTGTAATTGATAGATAGTTAAGAAAATTGAGTAAATATATTGAAAGGACAGAGCAGTGTTGCTTTTTATAAGCTAGATGATTTGATGGTGTAACTTTCACTATTTTCGCTCTATTTGAAGTGGGGAAGTTGATAAGGTTAACCAGAATAACAATGAGCTTTTCATATGATCAAACCTTATGCAGAGCACAGAAAACATATAGGGATATAGGCTTGAAGAATAATATTCATTTAAAAGTAATGAGTCAATGTATTTTCTTTTAGATTGTACTTACTCCATTCTTTATGCCTATTTAATCGCTTTTTATGCATTTAGTCCTTTATTATTATCATCACTATTATTGTTAACCATCATTTTCATTTCTTTATTTTTGATTTATCCCACTGGACTTATCCCCACTCACTTATACCTTTTTAAAGATTAATATTTATGTGGGGAAAATTTCCCGATATGGACAAAATTGCATCATAGTTGATAATAACAATACGTTATTGATTGGGTTGTCCATTACTGTTGTCAGATAATAATAACAATAATAGTTATTATCATAACATACATAACAATACATTACCCACAGTGTTTGAAAAGCAAGTCGTTTTTGTTATTGTTGCGTTATTTGTTCTTGTTTAAATAAAGGAGGAGATAGGTAAACAAAGTGTGGAGGAGAGCTACTTTTTATTATGGAAAATAAGCACTGAAGTAGTCATGACAAAATGACAACTGAAACAACAATAGGAACAATAATTATTGCTACAGTGATGTAAGTGGTGGGAGGTGATTGTGAGGAAATGAGTTTGTAATTGTATGAGATAATAATGATGATAATAAAAAAACCGAATTATCTAAAAGAAAGGTACATGAATGAAATAGTTTATCAATAGATATTTCTCTCAACACACAAACGTAAGGTAGAAAAAAGCCATAGTGAAAATCAATATATACGTACATTTGTTAAATGACGATTGAGAAAATTTCATGCAAGAATACAAACGCGAATAAGTATTGCTTTTTCTATGATAAAAATTTTATTGAATGTATCAAGTTAGTGAGCAATGCTATTGATTTAATGTAAAGGTACAAGTTAATGATGACAGATAATTAATAAGGCTATGTATTTTCATTGACTAAAATGGCTGGGATATGGATTACGCGTGAACCCAGCAACTGTCTACTTTGATGTGCAATGCGGGCTGGAGCATGTTGAAAATTGGGAGTAGTTAGTCCAAAACTTAGCATGTGTCCAAGAAAGCAAAGGCCGTTAGACTGATTCATCGTAGACTTCCTGGTTATATTTATTTATTTATTTTAACATATAGATATTGGTACATGGAGGCACCGAATACATATGCGCCACACGAATCTCAATTGATTTGTGTGAAGGCTGTGATACTGCCCGGGTGCCCAAACCGAAGCAGGTGGTTTTCTTAGGGGGCCACACCCCGAGCCTTCGACCTGAACATCTGATCCACAAGGCAGTGGAGCATCGTAAGGAGATGCAGTCCCATGGTAGCCGGTGACCAACGATTTGTTCATACGCCATTTGTTCCTTCTGGATACTGGAGCCCATGTGCACGATTGATTTGGGATCCGGTTAGAGCGCCGGACATTCGCTTTTCGTTCTCTCATGTTCGTAGACAACAGCCCCGTTACGAGAAGGCAGTGAGTAGGACTTCCCTGGCAGAGGCTGTATACGCGTGGCCATGTGAGAGCATTTCGAGAGGGAGAGCGGACTCTTCCCACTCTCGGCCGTACCAGGGCCGAGATTCATACGATAATCGTGAACGATTGTTATAGACCTCACATGGCAAGGCTAAACATAAGTTACAGTGGCGCTTATGTGTTCATTCTTCATCGGTGTCAAAACCTTGAGTTACGATATTATTTAGTCTTATCAATCCTCGTCGTTAAATTACTAACTTCAAACTACACATTTAGGCTTTTTCTAACGAACACTGACACTATTAGTATTGCAAACAATTCGTTTTTCATCTTGTTAATTTCATTTCATTGTGCGGACAGGGTGTGGCAGATTGGTCAATATATAGTGTAAGCATATATGCCAAGTCTCTAGATTGGTTATAAATAACTATGAAAATATTATTCACGTTTCATTATCCTTATTTTAATTTCAAAACAAGTTATTTCCTTAACTAGTGTTACCCACTCAACCTACTTTTTCTAATAAAAAATCCGATTTATATAATAGAAAGTTACCCACCAGGTATATTGGAGGATGGTTGCACGTAGTATTACAAATTGATTGAAGTCAGAAATGCAAACCATCGAATTCAAAACTCAGTGGTCCGGTGACCAAAGATCCTGGGTTCAGTTCCTGATGACGGTGTTGTGTATGCGTACTGCTGAAAAGTCTCAAGCTAGGAAGAAACAGCTACCTGATGCTTCTTGGTTTTCACTGATTGCTTAACTAAGACCATTTCGTGATGTTAGGTGTAAGAAATATTAGTTGGTAACAATATGGAAAACAATAAACAAGTAATAGTAATAGGATGGAAAAAGCCAACAAGAACCAAGGACAATAACATGAACACAACTCACCGGTAATACTTTAAACGATTCAATTTGAGCCATCCAATCCACCAAATAAAATAAACATGTTTCTAATAATGAACATAAGGAAGACAATAAATCGTCTAAATATGGATTAATAATTGTAGTACTATTTTCATTTATTTGAGCAGTTGAAGGTGAAGAAGTACCAAGTGTCGGGGAACAATTTGCTTTATTATTTTTAAAGATTGGCACACTGGATTCAGCCGAGTCCAAATGACTAACTGATTTTACCTGAGAATCAATATCATTATTATGCGGCTGTGATTCATGTACAAGAGATGATGGTGACAATGGCAAGAAGGAATTTGAAAAATTTCCAACAGACGATTCTCTAAACATTAACACAGGCTCCGTGTTGGTGCGTTCACTGGTTATTTCGTTTCGTGATAATGACGTAGAGGAAGAGGATGATAGTATTGTGGTAGTACTGCTATTAGTCAGTTCGAGATTTTTGGATTTTAAAAAAGAGCATAATTCAGAGAGACTGCACTTTAATTTCTACAGAAAAGAAAAGAAAATACATATAAACAATTGATTTATACAAGAATTGTAATACACTTTAAAATAGTTTATTACGTTGTGGAAATCTGTGCAATTCGGAAGAAAAAATAGAACAAATCCATTTTGAGTAGTAGTTGAGAATGAAAAACAGGTGTATTTTTTGTTGTTTCAAACTCGTCACTTGGATTTGTTTGTGAATTTTAATGTGTTGACTTTCAGTACCTTATGTAATAAGTATTTGAACGTGTAATTCTCAGTACATGTGACGTTTCTACATGAACAAACGGGGTCACTTAGAATACTCGAAGATTATTTTGACGAGGAGTCAATACTAACGAAACTCCTTAGGTGAGTGAAAACGGCAACAAGAAAATAAATCATCTAGTCTTCTCGGTGTTAAACTATGTTCAGAGAAGTTCTGAAAAAATCATTTGTATTTGGCAGGTGGGAAATACACTTTAGCTCAGGATTTGTGATGGACGCTTGTACCCTCCTTATACAAACAATTTCGTTTGTCTAAACAGCACAGATTACAATATGTGATCGTAAAACGTTCGTGTACTGAGCTATATTCCTTGATTGAATGTTCTATCTTGTAAGAAACTATTTGCATGAGACTGGCATTATCTAGTCAACAATTTCAGTAAATTCTAGGAATACTTGTAAAAAATCACTGAACACTTAAGAGACCTGAATGATACACATAAACTACAACACGTCTAAAAAGAATTTGTTCAGTAATACAAAATTATGATTAGCTGATTATTCGTACTTTTAATAAATACAAATCATTTGCTAAGACCTATAGCCTAAAGCAATGCGATACAAATTAAGACAATTATATTTAAGCAGACTGAATCCAATGGGGTCGGATACTTAAATATGAAGAGATATGACCAGTTCACTGGACTATTTTCCCAATAGATGAATGGAATAGTGATACAAATACTGTTGTGATATGAGTTTGAATCTCAATGGAAGCATCAATCCCCTCAAAAGTGCAGACATGTCTTGGCGACTATTTATCACAAGACCTAGGTTTTACGAGTAGTTCCCTTCAATCACCTAACATTAATACTACCTGAAAGCATCGAAATCACGAAATCATGTTTAATAATAATAATAATAATAATAATAATAATAATAATAATAATAATAATAATAATCGAAACTAAAACTTACAGGAATAAATTTTTGAACCACTTCCACAACTTTGTAATCATGTTCTACCGATGTTATAAATATCTGTCCAAATCTAAAGCCATTTGCATGGGTGGTAGAATTATTATTAAATAAAATCTCATTATTGTTACCATAATTATTAACTTTATTTGCATTATGATGATTATTATTAGTAGTATTAGTGGTAGTAGAAGAAATGGTAGTATTAAGATGAGAAGTAGTAGCACCAGTATGATTTGATTCACTTCCGTATTCTGATTTATGATAAGATGATGTGGAACAAGTAAAACTAGAATGACCAGTACCTTCAGACATCTCAAGGATATCTCTTCCACCTGCTCCTCCTATACTAGTAACACCACCACCAACACCACCACCACTGAGTTCATCATCCTCTCTATCTTCTTCATCATCAAAATCCCTATCAGGATCATCAATATCATTTTCCGTATCATCGTCATCATCATCATTATCATACTCATCTACCTCATCGTAATCAGTATCTTCTTCATCATCAAGAATACTATCCGTATAATCGTCCCCATCGGTATCATCACCTGTCAGATAATCATCATCTGGAATCTCATCAATGTTACAATCATATTTTTTATTTGTTAATAATTCATTATTCATTAATCCAAAGCGTCCATTGTTCGTATTGTTAGTAGTAGAATAGGTATTATTATTACTGTTGTGATTGTTAGCACTTCTTAAATTATCACCAATTCTGACACCGCCATAATCACCAGATACGTCAGATTCACTTGATCCTCCACCTTCTGATTCACCACGATCTGTTTTTATTGATTCAGCCTCGATAAAATCCGTGGGATTTGATCGATTGATTGAGGTGGAATTCATCATCATTTGTGTATGTGATGTGGTAGTATTCATTAAATGTTCATTGGTAAATTGGGGATAAGGATGGTTAGAAAGAGAAGAAAGAGAAGGAAGAAGTGAAGGAGGCACAATGAGTGGAGCTTTTATTTGTTGTCGTATGTTTTGATGATACTGGCTATCATGGATAGAAGAGGTTAGTGAATATAAATGATTATTAATACCATTGTCATTGAGAAAAGATGAATTGTTTTTATCGAAATTAAAAGGTAAACATGAATTACTAGGGTTACTTGTAGACTTAGTAATAGTATTGAGCATATTTCCACATACATTCAAGCTAGATGATTCAGATAAACTACAAACAACTGGACTACAAAAACTAGAATGTGGTTGATTATAAACTAAATGTAATTTAGAATTTTGTTGAGAATTATGACAAAACGGTGGAATAGACTGACTAGGATTATCGGTATGTAACGATAATTGTGAAGCACTATCACTGTTGTTGTTAATGACAGGAGAAGCAGTATTTACAGATGCAGAACCAGGAGTAGAAACGATAGATGTGTTGCTATTGCAAGAACTATCACCATGACTAGGACCATCATGGACATTTTGTAGTACAATATTTGAAGGATGCATAACTGATGAGGACGAAGTAGGATGATTAGGATTTAAATAAACTGACGTCGATTGCGGAGTATCTTTTATTAACGGATGATAATTTGCGTCCATAATTTGAACATAACTAGAACATTCATTCAATACGGACGAGTCGTGTAATTCCGATGATGTCGGGAGAAAAGATGGTTCAGAAGAATTTACAATTCCAAGGCATGATGGATACCAAACACTTGCAGATGATGTTGAAGATACACCTTCTGTTAATGGTGGGATCGATATTAATGGAGAAGAGATTTTAACATGTGAATGGACTCGACTATTATTATTATTATTAACTTGATAGTGTGAACATTGATCATAAGAATGATTTAACAAATAAGATGAAAATTGTTGATAATTATTCAGCTCATTTGTTTCATTACATACATTAATGTCAATATGTGCAGTAGTGGGAGTAATAGTAGTAGTAGTGGTGGAATTAGCAGCAGTGGCAAAGATAGTACTATTTATGTCTGTAAAGCATAAACGTAAACGTTTCGGATCTGAATTTGACAAATCAACAAAATCTGGATTAGAAGAATGCATCCCATTAGAGCATGATAATAATGATGCTGGTGAACATGATAAACTCATTGACTTCAATGTTTCTGTTGTAGTAGCATTCGTGGTGGTGCTAGCAGTAGTAGTAGTACTGGGAAGCTGGTAATAAAAAGATATAAGATCAGTTGGTATTCACACCAAGTAATCCATCAGAAACACAAAACATGGTGAAAGATAGAAACGATATCCAATGGATTATACAAATAGACATCGCTGCTATCATATATATATATATATATATATATATATATATATATATATATATATATATATATATATATATATATGATGAAAACAGACTCAACTATAGGTTTAAAAAAACTAATAATAGTATCAGTGATAATAGCTTTGATAATAATTATTATTAAAGCAATCAACAATATGAATATCACACACATGCACGTATGTGTGATTACGCATAAATATAAACGACAACAAACACCAATGGTCATTAACGCTGCTGAACACAATTATTAATTAAAACACAAAACCAATAAGAAAGAGGAATAAACGGAATCATAGAACAGAGAGAATCAAAATGAACTCAAAATTATTATTATTATTTTCTATATATATATATATATATATATATATATATATATATATATATATATATATATATATATATATATATATATATATATATATATATATATCGTAACAGATGCAAATGTGCACCAATTTTTTAAAACATAACATTGCCAAATTCATTAATATATGCCTTATTATTTTTGGCCTTTGAAAAATATTATGATTATGGACTTATAACTGTAAAGCCTGGTGATGAAGTAATTGAAAACAATTGTTCGCTCAAATATTCTTCATTTTTGAATATTCGATGGGGATTTTTAAACTGCCAAAAGTTTATTTGTTTGCATTCTCTTGATTAGTATTATAATTATTTAGTAGTAGTAAATTTTCAGGATGAACCTGGAAACCTCCTCCTGACGGCGAAACATTCAACACGGTGTAAACGATTATTATTATTTTTACTAAAGCACTATTATTCTAATCGTAGAATGGACACTTAAATCTCTAGTATAGTTATAGGTTTAATTCTAAGGGTGATGTTATACATATATAGGGTTCTACTCAAATTATTACGACGGGATTATACCCTAGTAATAATTTGTATATCTACATGATATTGATGTTCTATCAACAAAATTTATTCATTGACCTATATAAGACAAACAACAAAATGGTTCTATTTATAACTGACAACCTAACCTATTCGACAGTGTTTTCTCCTATTATTATTATTATTATTAATAGTAGTAAATGTTTGGGTTTTCCATTTATTAGCATTGAAGACTGAATTCGAGTTGGTCTTTATTAGAGTATGGGTTCCTATCGAACTCTTCGATATAGTAATTGTAATTATAGGTTTATAATAGTCTTAGTGATTGGCAATGAGATCTAGAATCCACATTCGATTTTATTTGGGATTCAGTGGCTTAGTGGATAATGTATGTTGAGGCTTAAAGTGATAGTAACTAGAGGTCAAGTATCAATGTATACATCAACACTGGAATGCAAGTACATTCAAATGATAAGTTCCGAATAAGATAAAATGGGAGTCTCATATTTCAGTGTTAGCCACCATCATCTAAAGGTGTAATCAAAGTATCTAAACAAAATTGCATTTATCACCACCACAAGTAACAACAGCAATTTTATAACCAATAACATAATATTATAGCTTATCACGAAAGGAGCACTTTTATTAAATAATAGCTATGTTTTAAACCTTTTTTAAAATCAATATGAGGATAGGATGTGTCTGTGAATTTGTGCAATATTTAGCTTTCTTTCGTTCATTCAGTGAGTGTACGCTGCATATAAGATCATAATTTTCAATGGAAATTTCATTTCAAGCTCTAAATCTCATCTCTTTTTTTGTTTTTTTATCCGGTAAGTTGGAATGAGCTACAGTGGCGTGTTTACAGAAGACATATGTGGATAGTTTAAGTTGGTTAAAAGGAAGTTCATAGCAAAAACTACACTGTTATATGTGGCATTGATACATTAGCTGAACGGAAAATGCTAGACATCGCACTTCTATTGAAAACTGAAAAAGACGGGTTATCTTTACAATGTGCCCCCAAATGCCCTGGTATGGCCGAGAGTGGAAAGAGTCCGCTCTCCCTCTCGAAATTCTCTCACATGGCCATGCGTATACAGCCTCTGCCAGGGAAGTCCTACTCACTGCCCTCTCGTAACGGGGCTGTTGTCTACGAACATGAGAGAACGAAAAGTGAATGTCCGGCGCTCTAACCGGATCCCAAACCAATCGTGCACATGGGCTCCAGTATCCAGAAGGAACAAATGGCGTATGAACAAATCGTTGGTCACCGGCTACCATGGGACTGCATCTCCTTACGATGCTCCACTGCCTTGTGGATCAGATGTTCAGGTCGAAGGCTCGGGGTGTGGCCCCCTAAGAAAACCACCTGCTTCGGTTTGGGCACCCGGGCAGTATCACAGCCTTCACACATATCAAATGAGATTCGTGTGGCGCATATGTATTCGGTGCCTCCGTGTACCAATACCCAAGTGTTAAAACAAACAAAACAAACTTCACAATGTGATTTTAAGTGTCAATTTTACAGCCGGGGCCCCAAAGGAGAACAGGTAACACAAAACAAAATCAAGATCTAAAAAATAGTGTTTGTTTGACTTTAAAAAGCTGCGATTTCAAAATTAACAGCAGCGAAGCCTGATGACATATTGAAAAATTTATAAAACAACATACACATGTGAATATGATTAAAAACTTTGCAAACCCATGGGAAACAAGTTAAGCGATTGCAGGTCCTGAGATAGTGGGATTTCAAGAACAGGTATGTATAAAGTCACATAAATCTATCAGATTATAAATATTGATTGAGTAAATACCGATACACATAAATGCAATATGTGGCTTTATGAACTCAAAGAAAAAGCTATTATGTTACAATTAGAAAAATAGGAATTATGTGAAAACCGAAAAAGACATCCAGTTTAACTCTATACGATCAGTATAAAAAAGCCCACATAGATCAGCAACTATCTTAGCAACTTAAGCGACAAGTCATTTCTATCCGACACAATGTTAAGATCGATTATCTTTCTATTCACTACAACGGATATGCAAATTATCGACAATTTAGATTAAAAACTATTTTACATAAACAAGTGATACATGTACATATCATAACACCTTTTGATTCATTTCTAAAACAATGGTAATAGTTTTTAGAACTGAATGATAGTGTTACATCTCAAACAGTACAAATGTAATTTTCCGGGTCAAGGACATAATAGATAATTCAACAGTAATGCAACTTACTAACGTACTAGGAGGTTTGAAGTCAAACATTTTTCATAAGGATTAGTGATACTGTAGTTTGCGCTACTTATGCAGACAGTCATAAGTAGTACGTAGAAGGAACTGGGATTGAAATGCTTACCAGCAGATTGAAATAATCAGAATAGAAAAAAAATCGGAGAGCAATTGGAATAACAACAGGATTAGAACAATGACGGAGTATATAAAGGACAACTCAAGGAAGATGTACAAATGATGTACTTAATGTACAATTTTCATATTTTACAAATCCACTGTGTGGTTTTGCATAAAACAATAAATTGGTTTACCGTACCTGAGTTTTCGTTCACTACAATACTAGTCACCTTTGTTCAGATCGAAATAAGAAAGTCGGTGTTCGAATCAATGGTCAAAAGCTGAATACTGTAGCTACTAACCTATCATTCAAATGGTAAATAGATATTGTAATACTACATAGTTACATGAAGATAGTACGTGAATAATAGCATCATGACTTCTTATATCAGTTCTATTAATGGATTTGGTTAAAATGGAACTATATTCGCTTGGTAATTTTATGTTTATTCAAAAAAATAACAATGAGAAATGTAGACAACTTGAGAAAATACAAAAATGGAACCACTGAAAAATGACTATATTGAATACAGTTGAGTTTCGCGTAAAAAGATTGGCTACCATAAATAGTGATTAACTAATTTTATGGTCATAGAAAGCGCCATAAAAATAAATCTCCATTATCAGAATGAAGATATCAAGAGAATGCACGGTAGTGAATCCAAATATGAAAATAAAGTTTTCTGTGTTAAATGAAATAAATTGATTTTTTTAAATGGTACTCGTATGTGAAAATTTAATCAAATATTTGTTATTATTCCTAGTATTTTTCACTTGGATTGTTCAGTTCAATGAACAATTATGTTACTAAAATGACCAAAAGATACATCAACTATGTCATATTATCAATAAACAGATATATTTTACACATAATGCAGGACTGAATACATATATTCTTACTACTTCATCTAATTTTTATAGTCGATACTGTATCGAAATTAAAGAATATAAAAGAAACAGAGAAAATGAATAGATAATTTTAACACTATAATATGAACAAGACATTCTTGTTTCTAAAACAAGAGTTCTATTTCGGAATAAAGTTATAAATTAAAAATAAAAAATTATGGTTTATTCCTTATATGCTTATACAAGCAATATTATTGATAGTAATTTATTGAATGTACGCATTCATAAGTTTTTGTAAGCATATGTAAGTGTATGAGCATGTAGAAGGATGTGGATGGATGAATTTGTGTACAAAAACCTTAGAAGATGAATAGAATACGTAGGAAAAATGCAATGTCTACATACTTAAACATGAACTGAGGTGAACTGAACAGAACTAAACTGATCTGGTCGAATATTATGCAAAATATAGATCAATCAGGCAAAAATTTGATACATGTGTACAGAGTGAGAGCGAGAGAGGAAAAACAATGAACTGAAGAATATATATATATATATATATATATATATATATATATATATATATGTCCTCATGAGGTCATACAATTACACAAAAATGCATATTTATTTATACGATAATGGTAACACATAAACATCGATAAATAAATACATTAAATATAATACAATACGGTGCAGTACAGTTTGGTTTATTCTACATACTATGTTACATGAAGTGTAATTTATTAGATTGATATATAAAGAAAGATTTCGCACTTAAAAGTGTAATTTGCAAGTGCTCTTTCACCATTCCTGTGCACGACGGCCTATGTTGATAGAGTGATATCACAACATTCTAGACCAAAAAGCCTAGTAAGTCAAAGTAATGACGTTAATACTTAGTGAACAGTATGCCTCATAGAGATTGAAGTAAGAACTTCCATATGACGCTCCAGCTCATCTAAGACATCAGCACTAGGCAGTCTGAAGAGTCACGTGAACGATCTGTGGCCACGGATAATAGCATACAAAACAAGCGTTATATTACGAAATATCCCGGCTGGCCATGATTAGTTTGATAGACCGTCCGGTGGAATTTTCTATAGAAGTGAAATGTTTTTAAAAACTAATGTGATGAAAGTCATGCAAAAGCGGCGTATACTTTTTAAAACTGATAACCACAATCAAAAATGAAAATGTCTGCCGAAATCTTCCATCTTTCCTTGGCTCTGCCACTAATGCATTACCAGAAATACAGTTATCAGGGAATAATAAATAAAAACTTTCTATACAATGATCGTAAGTCAAAAACGTTAACAACTAAGGTACCGCAACAAAATATAACTATGACACCAAGTAAGCCATTTTTAATCATTGTGAATGTGCTTGTTCAAATAGTAGAGTCTTAAAATACCAGTTTCAGTGGCTGGGATGCATTTTATGTGACGTTCAAGAGAATCCACTCTAAGGACAGCCTAACAACAATGGAGCTAGTTTAGAGCAGCAATCACTTTATGTGATAGCTGTATGCTACTAAATTAACACAAGTTGTTTCATCATAAATCCTCTAATCGAGTTAAGCAGATCAAATAGATCGTTGATGATTCTATTAAAGTTATTTTCCCTATATAAACAGTAAAGTGTATTTTGTAAGAACCAGAATCTCCTTATAGGTATCACTGCCAAGGTTGGACTTGATAATTTCAAATAAATTGAGCATTGGGAAGAAAGTTAATAATAAATATATTTTTTGTTATATTCCAATGAGTAGAAAAGTTGCTTTTCTGACGTATTATTTGAACTATTTAAACTTGTGTTAATTTAATCTGAACGATGAAAGCTCTACAACCGAACCATCCAGCTCATAGAACAAAACTCCATCAAAAACATTAACGCTACATATTTCTTGATGTCTCAATAATATTTAGGCTTAGTGGTTAACAAATGCAAATACGAATGAACTTGAGTTAGAAATCCTTACTTATTTTCTACCCATTATTCTTAGATATAGAGAGCGTATAAAAATATAGTGAAAAATAGAAATTTACTTTTGTTCTACCATTATCAGATATTTTATTAGCAGAAACAAAGAAGAGAATATAATAACGATAGCAGGAGAAAAAAACATGGTTAAGATAAAATAAATAAAAGGTTTATAATTTTACAGGGAAAAAAATTCTACAGAATATAACAAGTGATTTGAAGAAATGAATTATTAAAATGATATCCATTAAATCTCATTAGATATTCAACCTATTATTAATCACAAAATGATTGGTTATGATAAGAGAGTCTTATGGTTTTAGGAACAGTAAGATAAGTTTGGAGTTGGTTAAGTAAGATAACTGAATCAATCAGGGGAGGGGGATCGAGAGGTAAGACAAATACATATTATCACTATTTCTAAATTAGGTATTCTGTTGGATTTTAATTCAACTGTTAAATATGATACACATATTCTTGATATATATATATATATATATATATATATATATATATATATATATATGCCATACCATTTCAATTCTATCTTTCTATCTCTGTCTATTTCGCGCACATATAGACTTTTGTTTTCAACAACTTTTTGTCATTTAATAATGACTATTACCTATTACATTAATGAATAATAAACGAGTTAGGTGAGAGAACAAGATACATATATAAATATAGAGATATGATTCTGTAAGCAAACGTTTTTCGATTTAAGTGTATACATACTGAGAAGTAAAAGAAATATCTTACAAATAATCGTAAATAAGGCATTAGAACAAAATATTATCAACTATGCTCTATATGTTTAACTTTTATCTTAAATGTGTAATTTCTGGTGTAAAGAATGATTTTTAAATGTTATCCAGATGCAGAGTACGACAACAATACCTACTTCTTTCATACATTAATTAATGCAAAATTAAGAGAACACTGAATAATCAATTGAAATTAGTATACTGCAATAACATGAGTGGTTGAATATAATAACATAAGACAGATTGGTCAACTCGACTAAAGTTTGCAGTACACAGTTAAATTATATAATTAGATCATTTAAGTCTGATTCATTCAGTCGATAAGCTGAATTACCACAACGAGATCAAATTATCAAGATGAATTAAGTAGTACAAGTAGTTTTAGTATGAGTGATATTCCAACTAATGCAGTTCAGTTTCAAAGTAAGTGACATTATAAACTGGCTTTGTGTCTTGGTTTGATTGCTATCTGGCTAATTAACATATTTAGACAGGTCGAGAGAGTAACTAATACCAGTTGGAGAATAATTAAAAACCAGGGTGTATTGAACAGTTATCTCGTCATAGCAAAAGACGGCATTAGAGATTGTGTACTCATAACTCCACGCATTAATGAATTAATCATAAGATAATCTTAGTAGTGAAATATTCCAAAATAAAGTGATAAATGCAACCCAATGTTTTCCGAAAAATAAACTAATATATAGATACTTACCTTCTGGGTGCATGTAAGTAAATGAGAATGACTTCCACCAACCAAAGAATCATTGAAAGGTAGATTAACCATACTTGTGTATGTATCCGTAGATATGCCGGTAGATGAAGAAGCAATATTCATAATAGAATCGGTAGTATTATTAACAGAAGATTTAATTGAAACTGAATTCATAGAATCAGTGATGATGATGAAGGGAGGAGTTGTTAAACTACAAATAACAGTAGAACAACTACCGGACATATCTATATTTGAATGATCAATAGGCTTAAGTGAAGTTTGATGATAAATTGGACTTGAAGAAGAACAAGAGTTAACCGATGAAATATTGTATGAATTAGGTCTAGAATCATTTTGGCAATTCGAATGCTTTGATATTGACGATGATGACGATGATGTTGATAAATGATCATTGTCAGTGTTCATTTCTTCAACTGATGATACAGGTTTCAGATTAAATATACTTTGAGAACTGCGATGATCAAAGTTTGAAAAGAACATGACAAAAGATAAACATTATTATGAGTCTATATTTGATAAATGAGTATTTATGATAAAAATGAAATGAAAACTGTCGATAGTGAATTTTTATGCCACCATTCTCAATTCCTTTGAAATCTAACAGAGATCATTAATCAGCAACAGATAAGAAATTTTAAAAAAATATTAAATAGACGATAGAAACTAATATATAACAGTAGAACAACAAGGTTGGCACAGTAAAATTAATTCGTTTTGTTCTGGAAACCTTATTCTTGTATTATTTAAATGTATCAAGGGGACAGGATGAATGAAATACAAACTTTATTGACAAATAATATCTATTAATATTCATGAAAGTAGATTAGATAAAGTGGATAGCATTCTTCAGTAGGTAGTTATGCAGTCTTAATGTCAATGTTATTCTATATACTAAGATACATCTGAATTAAATTAATAAAGAACAAGAAAGATTTAAGGAAAACACTTTTTCTAAGCTGAACAGACAGCCACTATTACAATTTGAGCAATCAATATTATTTTTTTACAATAAACATTACCAAAGATGTCGTTACCATAATTATTAGGTTTTTCTTCAAAAGAAGGCTAGGGCTAGTATTTTAAGGTGTTATTGTTAATTGAATAATGATATCCACTTTACTCCAAACCATGTTATCAAATGTTAGAATTACCTACATAGTGATGCCACCGATTACAAGCAATCTGATAGAAGACAACCGTGATAGAACATAGATTTACTCAATTCGAATCCATTTACGTCATAGACAACGAAGGAATTAAAGTCAGTCAATCGGTCACAACGTAGGACCTGGTACGTCTGAAAGCTGACCTTCATGATTAAAAATTATCAATGATTAACTTTTAACTATAACGATACTGGAAATGAATAATATCTTTTTTCACACCTATAATTACCATTGAGTTCAAATAAACTATTCTTATCTTATCTTACCACAAACTTGTTATGGTTATGCAATAAAATTACCATGAATATTTTTCAAGACTATTACTTCAATTATTTCTGCAAAACCATTTTCAGAACATAAATGAAACTATATTACAATTTTGCAAGCTAAACATTTCACTGGTACTATAATGAGAAATTCACTCCGTGAATGTTATAATGTTTTATTACAATTTTTCATGAAATAAACTTATAAAATTGTATGTGTAGTTGAGAACGCAATGAATGTATTGTAATTGATTAAAAAAATTATCATTCTTATTTAATTTTTCTAAGAAAGTAAAAGTAAGTAAGTGGAACTTAGTGAGAAAGGAGATTTAACTACACATTGTAATAAAACCTTCAAAATATAAGTGTTAAATGATGAAATACAATAAAAAATGGGATATGTTGCTAGTTGTCTAGCACATAAATAAATGATTTTCGATTGAAATATATATTATTTTTTCGTTAAACATCTACGAAATTTCCCATTTGCCTCCCTCGCCACCAGAAAAATTTATAACGAAAAACAGACAAAAAGTAACTATCTTATTTTTGCTTTCTCATTGTTAAAGATAAGAACTGTAATTGATCAGTCTCCAGAGGCATGAATAGATCCTGAGCGGATTATTCACTTACTAACATCTAGTCACAAGTTATTTAGTTAATTTGAAAAGCAGCAAAAAATGGAACTCATTATATATAGATAGATGCACTTGTATCCCAGTGCTGAGGTTAACACTGAGTAAATAAGTTTGCTTCATACAGTCACATTATCCACTAAGTCAAGAAATCCATTACTTTACTAGAAATCACTTGGTACTATTATTAGTATTATTATCTTTAACATACTAAGGTATTAATTTTAAAGAAATAGGAAATAAACTTATTAACTTCATTTATTTATTTGAACACATAAATATTGGTACAAGGAGGCCACCAAATAGATATGCGCCACACAGTGGAGCATCGTGAGGAGATGCAGTCCCATGGTAGCCGGTGACCAACGATAAGTTCCGACGCCGTTTGTTCCTTCTGGATACTGGAGCCCATGTGCACGATTGATTTGGGATCCGGTTATAGCGCCGGACATTCGCTTTTCGTCCTCTCATTTTCGTAGACAACAGCCCCGCTACGAGAAGGCAGTGAGTAGGACTTCCCTGGCAGAGGCTGTATACGCATGGCCGTGTGAGAGCATTTCGAGAGGGAGGGTGGACCCGCCCCACTCTCGGCCATACCAGGACATTTGGGAGCTTCATCGATATATGTCATTGTAAAATACCAATTGTAGAACAGGCTAAGTGTATTCAACGGGTAATCAGATCTCAACACTCCATTACTACATAATACAGAAATTGCCAAACAATCACTTGGTTAAATTTGTTTATTCCTTTTTTTGAACACAAAAATATTGGTACAAAGGGGCACCAAATATACATGCGCCTCACAATAACAATGAGCATATGAAGAGATAGAGAATATAAAGTGCGTATAAGAAAAAGTAAGACAATAACGAACATAAATTAGTATATGAGAGTGAAATAACAATAATAATAATAAGAGAGGCGGTTCGGTTAACAAAAGTACAATCAGAAAGAATTCTTCCAGTTAAAAAAGTTACGTTAATTTTTTATGAAGTAAAAAAAGTTACAGCACCATCACCGCTGGCTTCTATTCTAAGCCATGTCTGATATCGTGACAAGCCACTGTGTTGCATCATCCCTATGACCCCTCGTATTCACTAGTAACAAATTTTAAGATGGAAGTCTGGGCGGAAAATATCGGGGATTTGTGGAATGAACACAATATGACAACACTGAATTATTTCCACGTTATGTAAGTAGTTAACTACAGTTGAAAAATGTTGATAAAGTGGATACTAACTTAATGATAGGATGATATTCTGATCACCATGAGACCTGTAGATTCTCAGTTAAATTAACAGGGGATATGTACACTGCTAAAAAGTGTCAAACTAGAAACTTTCATGCAGATTTTTACTGAAGAAAATTCATCTAATATAAGATACAATTATCAAATTACGAGTGGTAAATTTGAAACACTAAAACAATGAAGAAAACTACAAGATAAGATGAAAGTATGGGGAAAAATAAGTTATGGGAAAGCTTGTTATTTTATCTGTTAGCACAGACTTCTTGCAATTTTAGAGGTTACAAACAAGAACAAAGTATTTTCCTTGAAAAAGCTTGGACCAGATTGCCAGGCGAAACGTTGGATTTACTTCGAATTCATTCGCTGAGATTTTACAAATACATTTTTTCCTCTTTAAGAACAAAGTATTATTTAAGTTGAATCAACATATGAATAAATATAACATAGTTAAATGATTGGTCAGAGATAATTAAATTAGGAACTCATACAAATAAATGCCCATTGGCCTAAATTGTCACAGAACAACACAGTGAGACGAATATCAAACAATTCGAAATAATAAAGGTATCAATGATAGTAAAAAACCGAAAATGTAAAGTATGTTTTGAGCTGTAGGAATGAACATGAGAAATAACACGCTGCAGACATACTGATTTTACCGTTTTTATCTCAATGCTTGAGATTTAGTCTTTCAACAACATCAAAAAATGAGAATACTATTGTGAAAACACGTTTGTATGTCCATGTCATATAAACCCGTCGTAGATACACACTACTTATTTATCGAGCAGGGAAGCTAACTGGTTGACAAATACAGTAGTGATACATTATCATGCATCAGATCCCTTGTATATTAAAATGCCGATACACCACTGCATCAACCACAGTTACTCATAAACAACAGCGATAGAAACTCAACTTCCGTTTGCAACTTCGACTCAACAATATATATATATATATATATATATATATATATATATATATATATATTCACTCCCATTCACACGTACATTTCTACTATTCTAATGAGATACCATTCAGACATTGACATATAAACATGCATGTAGATAAAAGCCACAAACAATCTATTTCCCTTATTATCTAACGTACTGACTGATAAAACGACGTTGCTCTAGTAAACAAAAAGTCGATGATACATGGTTTTTGATAATAAAAAAAAAAGATAACCTAGGAAATGAAAGTGTTTTTTCTTGAAAAAAAAAGTGGATGAGTTATAATCAAGTTTATACGAGCAAAGAGAACACAAATAAATATTGATATATTTAAAAGTATCAGAAGCTATGCTTTATTTCGAAAACAATGGAAACAATATGTTATGGATTAACCTCATAGCTTTTAATGTTGACTGAAATGAGTGTCGAAACGATAATACGAAAAGGGACTAGTTTTTGATGTGAGTGCAGATTACGAAAGAGAATAACAGCAATACTAGTGACGGTGACTGAAAATGAAACATAGGATAAGAATTTATTCATTCTATTTCAGTGGGCTCCTATTTCTATTGAAGGGTATAAAAAAACGGCATTCAGTGAATTGATGAAAGTTACAAACAAACGCTGCTAAATTCCAAACCGAAAGGGCTAAAATCTTAATCGACTTGCAACAAGATTTGAGGGTCCCTGATTCAATCCCCGATAGGGTCGAGGGACGCTAGCAGGCGATGAAAATTATTTAAAAATTATGAGCAATATGTTTGATTTGATCGATTTAAACACCTGAAGCAGCGTTCCATGCGCCGTATATGTGTGTATGAAAAAGATTGAAATTCGAATATATGAATTAAGGTGGATGGGAATTACCGACAATGAATATTTAAGGAACTCACATCGTTAAGGAAGGTTGTTAGTTCTAATCTATCACAAGGTTAATTTGGGATGCTATCAAATAAAGTCGTTACCTGATCGAGAAAACAAGTATATATAAATAATAAGGGACTAATGTTTTCAGTCGGTTAGTGAGATACCCTATCGAGAGTGAGATACTCAAGTTGGAAGATGAAATTATTGTTTATAAAAACTGCACTAGGCCTAAATCTGATTGAGTTTTACTTGACATTATACGGGGATAGGACCATTGAGGAAAAATGTGCAACATCCATAAACATTTTTTTG